ATATTGATCCTTTCTGCCAGTATCCAAAGGAGGCAATGATCTACAAAACTTCGGGAAGAAAATTATGATCTCCATGAGTAGTAGTGGAGATCAGTTATTAAGGAACTAGGCTTTGAAGGCAAAGAAAAATATGGAATTTGAGGAAAAGACAGAAGATGGAAGATGATGGGACAATAAAATGCCAAAAACTAATGGTAAACACTTAACAAGGATAGCTGCAAGCAAAACTAAAATTGCAGAGAACCCAGAAAGGGGGTCAGAGAAATTCTGTGAGCAGGTTTCAGGGGCCATTCCTAAATCAGACTCAAGATACTCTAAAACATGGCCAGGTGCAGTGGCTACCATCCATAATCCCAGCATTTTGGGAGGATCATTTGAGGCTAGGAGTTTGAGACCAGCCTGATGCTGCACAACAGTGTGAAACTCCATCTCTACAGAAAAAAAAAATATTTTTAATTAGCCAGATGTGGTGGTATGGGCCTGCAGTCCTAGCTACTGGGGAGCTGAGGCAGGAGGATCCCTTAAGCCCCAGGAGGTCAAGGCTACAGTGAGCTATGATCGTGCCACTGCATTTCAGCCTGGGTGACAGTGAGACCTTGTCTCTTAAGAGAAAAAAAAAAAAAAAGAAGAAGAAGAAGAAAGAAACTGGGGTATGGGGAAATATTCTCTCCACTGATGCATTTATTAACATTTTTCTGTAATAAAAAGTTATAAAGTCTATTTCAAAGGGGAAAAGAGTTCAAAATTTTTCTGAATAGGTTTACTCTAAAGAACAAAATCTCTCCTCTGACAAGAAGGCCAAGAACTGACCTCTCCCCTTGCTCTCTCTTCTATAGACGCCTGAGATCCTTAACTCCTGGAAGGCGCTATGCTCCTTTGTATTTCAGGAACTTTGCACAGGTAGTTCTCTCTATTTAGAGCCTGCCTTCTCCATTCCACCCTCTCTCACCCAGTTAATGTTTAATCACAAGATATCAGTTTAAATAGTACCATGCCAGAGATATTAATTAGGTACTCAGTAACAGTATCACCAGTTGAATTAAACGTCACTTCCTCTGGGAAGGTATCCCTGGCTGTATCCATGTGAGATTAGGTCTCTCCCAAAATGTTCACACAGCATCCAGTACTTTACCTTCATAGCACCTTGCATGGTTTGCAATTACATATAATTTGTGCGATTTGTTTAATGTTCATTTGTGGCATAAGAAATATGTATTTGGTGTTTGTAATTTCCTTTGTGATAGGAGAAAAGGAGCATCTTTTGTTATTCATAACAAGCCCCTTTCAACCATACCTGAGTTTAGCTAATGAGGTGACTCTTAGTGGGCCCTAGATAGCTTCAGGATGAAGGCTGGTCGCCAGAGAAACCAACCAAGTGATAAAAGGGATGGAACTTTCAGTTCCACCACCAGACCTCAAGGGAGAGGAAAAGGGGTGGAGATCAAGTTAATTATCAATGGCCAATGATTTAATCAATCAAGGCTATGTAATGGAGCTTCCGAAAACACCCCTAGACAGGGTTCGGAAAGCTTTCAGGTTGATGAACACATCAAGATGCTGGGAGGGTGACATGTCAGGAAAAGGCATAGAAACTCCAAGCCTCTACCCTTGTATCTTGCCCTACGCATCTCTCCCATTTGGTTTTTCCTGAGTTGTATCATTTATAATAAACCAGTCATTGTAAATAGGATGTTTCCCTGCGTTCTGTGAGCCATTCTAGCACATTACTCAAAGGTGAGGGGGTAGGTGTAGCAACTCCCCTGTTTGTAGGCAAGTCAGAAGTGTGGGATTCAATACATGCAACTGGCATCTGAAGTACTGGTAGTCTTGTGGGACTGAGCCCTTAAACCTGTGGAGTCTGATGCTAACTCTAGATAGTTAGTGTCAGAATGGAAATGAACTGCAGGTTCATTTCCAGATACAGTTGGTATCTGGAAAGTTGAAGAACTGATTGGTGTGAGTAAAAACTCACGGACGTGTTGTCAGAAGTGCCGTGAGTAAAAACAGCAAAGACTATCTCTCACACTAGTCTATAAAGACTATGAGGGCAGAGGCAGTGTCGATTTTGCTTATATCCCTAGTGTTTATTAGCATAGGTAAAGCATAGAGGGAGCTCAATAAATATTTCCTGAATTAAGCTGAGCAATCTGAATCCAGGTAGTCCATTACGCGTATTAAATATAAGTTAATCTCACATATTATCTTACTCTGAACTAACCTAATGTGAGCAAGTCCAAGTGTGGTGGTACCACAGTGGATATATCCTAGGGATTCTATCTGTAGTCCACTTCAGTCTCTTCCTCTTAATGTACATACATTTTTGGATCCCAGCAACTCCCCAAGGCTTTTACCTATCTCATATGCTAATGACTCCAGTCGAAACCTCTCCTGAGCTCCAGACCTGGACATCCACTGCCAGCATGACATACCCACTCAGATGTACCAAAGGAATCTCAAACATATCATGTTTAAAACTGAACTCTCGACATCTACCATCCCATGCCTCTCCCCATACACAGTGCTTAGAGAATCATAAGAGAAAGTGTCAATAAAGACTTCTCAAGGGCATTTCTGAAAGTGCAGGAGGAAGAGCCCATTTGCAAAGTTCTATAACTGAAACTTAAATGTATACTGTGGTCCAGGTCTCCCTACTCCTGTCACATGTACTTCTAGAAGGCTTCATTAGGCTGAATGATTGATGTTGGCACTCTTATTCATTAACCACACAAATTATCAATGGTTAGCTGTGCAAAATTAAACTCCTGATAAAAAAGAAAAAAACTTTTTCATTGTTATTATTGCTATTTAAGAAAGTACACTTAGAAAAGGAAAAGATTTAATGAGTTCGCTGGCAAATTGTTTTTGCTACATCAATAATGAGAACCAGTCAAATAAACCTAGAAACAGATGTGCCTATTCAGTGAGTAAAGAACTACAGACAAAATCAAATCAAACTAACGGGTTTTCACTTGTATTCTAGAACCACCAGTTCACAATCCTGATGAACCAGCTAAATACTGACAAAGGAAAACTGCAGTTTTGTTTTGTTTATTAATTTACAGTAAAAATTTATACCACTAAAAGCCAATTGTTCTTTTTTCCACTCCTGGTGCAATGCACAAATCCAAACTGATATACATACATAAATTACCAAAATTCATCAATGAAAAGGTTAGAAAACTACTAAGGAACTGGGGAAAAAACCAATCAGCACTACAACTATCTTTCTAAAACTGAAATAAACAAGTTACTGAAAGTAAGTTTAAGTTCCTATAAGTGAGTTTACCGAATTCTGAAGTTTTTAGCATTCTCTAGGTGAACAAAGCAATAATAGAAGTTAACATTCACTGAAGCACTTCCTATGTGGCAGAAAATACATGTATTATTTACTCTTGAGAGCAACTCAATAAAATAGGGGCTGGGTGCAGTGGCTCATGCCTGTAATCCCAACACTTTGGGAGGCCAAGATGGGAGGCTCACTTGAGCCCAGGAGTTTGAGACTGGTCTGGGCGACATAATGAAACCCCATCTCTACAAAACATAATTAGCCAGGCATGGTGGTGCACCCCTATAGTCTCAGCTACTTGGGAGGCTGAGGTGGGAGGATTGCTTAAGCATAGGCGGTAGAGGCTGCAGTGAGCCATAATTGTGCCCCTGGGCAACAAAGTGAGCAACCCTGTCTCAAAATATAAAATAAAATTTAAATTTAAAAAAACTAATAAAAAGAAAAAAGTACTTGTATTATCCCCATTTTCCAGGAAAGGAAATGGAGGTACACGGAGGCTAAATAGTTTGACCAAGGTCACAGTGCCAGTAATTGATAGAGAAGGATTCAAACCAGACTAGTCTGCCGGGTAACCCCTTAACCACTAAATTATGCTGCTTCTTATCAACATCGTGGTGTATATCATGCTTTTTTTTTTTTTTTTTTGGAGACAGGGTCTGCTTCTGACGCTCAGGCCGAGGGGCAGTGACACAATCATAATTCACTGAAGCCTTGAACTGCTGGGCTCAAGCTGTCCTCCCACCTCTGCCTCCCAAAGTGCTAGGATTATAGGCATGAGCCAACACGCCCAGCCCCACACTAACTTTTTAAAAATTAAAACCTCAGAAGGTTTTAATGAACCAACTGCCAATTCAGTTCCTTCTTAAAAGTCTTGTTGCTATGATAAAATACGTTCCTCCTAACCACTCTTTCAAGATTATTAAATGATCTCAATTGGGTAACAAAAAAACAAAGCAAAACACTTTTCACAGTCTTCATAGAAACTTGCAAGGCAGAAAGGCAATGGACTGAGAAGAGCAAAACAATTCTAATTGATAGAGAAAACATTAAAGATGTATATTATCTGACTTTAAAGCTTATTATTAACATAAAACTAGTAACTAGCAATCAAGACACGGTATTGACAAGATAGTGGTACTTTCATCAAGCTAGATCAACAGAATAGAACTGAGGGTACAGAAATAGACCCACATATATATGGCCAACTGATGCTTATCTAAGGTGTCAAGGCAGTTTAATAGGGAAAGGATAATCTTTTCAACAAAAGGTGCTGGACCAACTGAATATGCAAATAGGAAAAATAAACCTTGACCCTAATTTCATACCATATACAAAAATCAACTTGAACTGATTCACAGAACTAAACTTAAGAGCTAAAACTAAAAAATCTCTGGAAGAAAACATAGGAGAAAATCTTAGCAATCCTGGGTAAGATTTCTTAAGTAGCATACAAAAAACTGATAAGCTAGACCTGATCTAAATTAAAAACTTTTGTCTTTCAAAAAGCATTGCTGGCCGAGCACAGTGGCTCATGCCTGTAATCCCAACACTTTGGGAGGCTGAGGCAGGTGGATCATCTGAGGTCAGGAGTTCTAAACCAGCCTGGCCAACATGGTGAAACCCCTGTCTCTACTAAAAATACAAAAAATTAGCTGGGCATGGTGGCTGGCACCTGTAATCCCAGCTACTTGGGAGGCTGAGGCAGGAGAATCACGTGAACCCAGGAGGTGGAAGTTGCAGTGAGTCGAGATCGTGCCATTGCACTCCAGCCTGGGCAACAAGAGCAAAACTCTGTCTCAAAAAAAAAAAGGCACTGTTAAAATGAAAAGGCTTAGATATGATGAACACATACATAAATAAAATGAAACGGCAAGCCCCAAGATGAAAGAAAATATTTTGTAAAACATATCCAATGAGACTTGTATCAAGAATATATATAAAAACAACCCTTACAACTCAATAAGAAAACTTAATTTTTTAAATGAGCAAAATATCTGAACAGACACTTCACCAAAGATATATAAACAGCCAAATAAGCACATGAAAAGATGTTCAACGCCATTAGTCAGTAGTGAAATGGAAATTAAAACCACAACAAGACACTATTACAAATTCAATAAATGGCTCAATTTAAAGATACAGATAATACTAGGTACTGGTGAGGATGTCACCACCAGTGTGTAGAACTCTCATACACTGCTGGTAGAAATGTGACGTGGGAAACTGCTGTACCACATATGCAACAATTCTACTCCTTAGGTATTTGCCCAGAAAAATGAGAACACATGATTACATAAAGACCTGGTCATGAGTATTTATAGCATCTTTATTCATAATAGCCAAAAACTGGAAACTCAACTGTCCATCATCTGATGAATGAATAGGTACACATCATAATATATGCATACGATGGCAAACTACTCAATAACAAAAAGGAATGAACTACTGACTTTGCTTATTCATTATAAGCAAAATGAATAAGCATTATTATTCATTATTTGGAGATTCAACATGGATGAATCTCAAAAGCACATGCTAAGCAAAATAAGCCAGACACAAAGACTACATAACTATGGTTCTAGCTACATGAAATTCTAGAGTAAAAACCACAGTGATAAGAAGCACATCCAGTTGTTGCTAGTGGCTAAGGAACAGGTGGAGAAGATTACAGCCAAGAGGTAAAAGAGAACTTTCTGGGTATGATGAAAAGAGACTGTATCACGATTGTGGTGGTAGTTACATAATTGTATTGACATTCATCAAACTGTTGACTTAAAATGGTGAATTTACTGTGTGTTAACTATACCTCATCAAAGCTGACCAAAAACAAACAAAAGGTCAGACACTATGGCTGATGCCTGTAATCCCAGCACTTTTGGAGGCTGAGGCAGCAGGACTGCTTGAGGCCAGGAGTTCAAGACTACCCTGGGCAACACAGGGAGACCCCATTTCTACAAAAAATAAGTCAGCCATGTATAGTGGTATGCTTCTGTGGTCCTAGGTACTTGGGAAGCTGAGGCAGGAGGATTGCCTGAGCTTGGGAGGTCAAAGCTGCAGTGAGCCATGATCATGTCACTGCACTCCACATCCAGCCTAGGCAACAGAGCAAGACCCTGTCTCAAAACAAACAAACAAAAAAAAACAAAACCCAATTACTTGCAGGCCCTGCCTCTTGTCCACCCAATGCTGGTATTCTCAAAAGTTCTAGAACCTCCTTTTTCTTCTCAGTATATTTGTTTTCTTAACATCAACCACTTCCTGTTCATTGCTAAAGCTTAACTCATCATCACTACAGATACCTCCCAAATCACCTCTGATGAGCATTTCTGCAGAACACAAGCGGTTTTTTTTTTGTTTTTTTTTTTTGTTTTTTTTGCTTTGAGCTAGAGTCTTACTCTGTTGCCCAGGCTGGAGTGCAGCTGCTATTCATGGGTACAGTCATAGCTCAGTGCACCCTCAAGCTCCTAGGCTCAAGCAATCTTTCCACCTCACCTACGTAATCTTTACCTGTCAAAATCCACACTTCTCCTTCAAAGGCCTATCTCAAAGGTGACTTCTTCCATGAAGCTTTTCATGTTGAAATCACCCTACGTTCACCAACACAGATTTAATCACTTTCTCTTCTAACTCTCTTTTGCTTACACATATGTACATTTATCATATTCTGCCTGGTTTGTTATTATTCGTGTACCTGTCTTCATCACTACTGCTCCATCCACCCCACAACCAGACTCATGCTATGAAAGGCTGGTACTCTGCCCTACTCTTTTATCCCTTTCAGCCACTGGCACCCCAGCTTTCTCACTGCAAGGGCTCAGAACACTGTGGAAGAGGAATTAATTCTGATCTAACAAGTCTACAGAGAAATAACAAAATAAGCTACGGTGGGGGCTATAAGGATAAATCAGATAATAGATTGTATTCTGCCTTTGTTGTTGTAAGTTGGAACTCTGTCTAGAGAGAAATTCCCCCCACCCTCTCCGAGATGGAGTCTTGCTCTGTCACCCAGGCTGGAGTGCAGTGGTGTGATCTCAGCTCACTCTTGGGTTCAAGTAATTCTCCTGCCTCAGCCTCCCTAACAGCTGGGATCACAGGCATACACCACCGTGCCCAGCTAATTTTTATATTTTTAGTAGAGACAGGGTTTCACCATGTTGGCCAGACTGGTCTCAAACTCCTGACCTTGTGATCCACCCACCTCGGCCTCCCAAAGTGCTGGGATTACAGGCGTGAGCCACTGCACCTGGCCTGAGTGATTTTTTTAAGGCTCAAAATCCACTAAACCAAATCTTCCTCCAAGAGCATTTTCATTATAACACTCCCCCTACTTTATACATTTGCAATAATTTAAAATGGGTGCCGGACTAGGCATTCTCTATTTGCCCCCAACCTCCTCAAATCAAGCCTATTCTCTACCCTTCCAAGCTTTGCTTTGCACCCTTTGAGGCTGACCTCTGGGATTACACTGCCCAAGTTTTCTTCTTACTTCCAGTTGCACGGGGCCATTGAGAGGCACACATAGAGGAAATGGGAGGATGAGAAGTAAAAGAAATTGGGGGTTTTATTTCTCTAGCTCCCTTCCCACCTCACAAAGCCATTTCCTCTAGGGCTACAGGTCCTGACCACAAGCTTGGCTTCCATTGCTCCAGCTCTCATCAGACTTAAAAGTATATTAACGGCTTCCCAATAGTGTTAGGCCTTGGCAACATGACAATACTCTGTTGCTCTCCTTAACCCTATCCAAATCTCTACAACTAGTACATTTATTTCCTGCCAGGACCCTCACTGATATAGATAGCTCCCCAGGCTTAAAATCACTTAGTCTGCTTAAGGCTCACAATCAACTGAACCCACCAACCTAATAAATTTTACCACCCCATGCTCCCCAATTGTCCCTGCTCTAGTCAGGTAGGAATTCCTACCAATCCCTACATCACTCAGTTGAGATATGTTCACTCCTGTCTTTGTGCCTTTACTCATGCTGTTGTCCTCTGTAATGCCCACACCTTCCTTTCCACTTATATTTTCTACAGTTACTAATTCAAATCCTACCTCCCCCACCCCCTGCCCAAATTAATCCTGCTTGAACAACCTTAACCCTCAATTATCTTTCTCATCTTGGAATTTCTGTATCTGTCACAAGGAACTACTTTGAAAACTATGAAAATAAATATTAGCTATTGCCCTATATGGTCTCTAATTGTTCATTATATATCCCCTAAAGGTAAGTAACATCAGTTATTTTAAGTTTCTTCTTTTGTATTCCTTTATAGAAGTTTAGCATAGCATTATAGTAACTCTAGTTGACAAAAAAAAAATACATCACTACAATGTTCTAGTACAAAAAGTTTGTGACAAGCAGCTATAAGCAAATTTATTATGTTTTTAATGATTTTGTTTTCAATGTAATGATTCTGAATAATGGCTGCTATCAAACTTGGGTGTTTCTTTTTTAGAACATCAATGTACTTTTTTTTCCCTCAGAAACAGGGTCTTGCTCTGTTGCCTAGATTAGACTGCAGTGGCACAATCATAGCTCACTGGAGCCTTGAACTCCTGGGCCCAAGTGATCCTCCTGCCTCAGCATCCTGAGTAGCTAGGACTACAAGCACATGCTACCACTCAGCTAATTTTTTTCTTTTTTTCCAGAGACAAGGTCTCACTATGTTGCCAAGGCTGGTCTCAAACTCCTGGCCTCAAGCAATCCTCCTGTCCCAGCTTCCCAAAGTGCTGGAATTACAGGCACGAGCCACTGTACACTGCTCACCAATGCACTTCTTAATGAAAGAATCTTTGGGGAAAAAAAAAAAAAAAGAGTAAAGTAAGTTATCCATTTGTCAAGTTCAACAGTCTATTATAGTAATAGATACAATTAATCCAGAAATGCAAACAGAAATATCAGCACATGCAAATACCTTAATTTGCAGCTGACCAGTGGCCATGAAGCAGACACTACATGTCAACAGAAGTATACTTTCTAGAGCAGTGAAGATCCTGAGGGTCCTTATCATATTGTCTACAGAAAAAAAATCACCTCCCACTTCTTTAGAACTATAAATCTGTTAGCAACTATAAAGGAAAGCCTACATCATGACAATCAACATTTTTAGTAAATTTATCCTCACAGAACTCCCAATGTTACATCCAATTGATACTTCAAGAACTCATTCTTACGCCCTCCCTAAATAAAAAATGAAGAAACAGCAAAAATATCAGAAGTAGGTACTCTGGCTAGCTCCTCAAATAGTCACAGAATACTTATATATGAGTATGATTTTAAGGAGAAAAAATAAAATTCAAAAGATTATCTGAAAGAGTTAATGGTATCAAAAGAAATATGGAAGGAGGACGAAGACACAATAGTATCAACCACTGACTGGCTTCAAAGTTACCTTTAACCTCTTTATCAAAAAATAAGCAAAAATAAAGGCATGAACCCCCAGTATATTCTAAGGGACCAAGGGTCAGTCCTATTTGTGCATTTTTCTAAATCTGCAATTACATGTTAATTTTAATAGAGATATTCTGACTTACCACTACAAAGATCTTAACAAGAATGTGCAAAATTTATCCATAATAAATTCCACTGTATACAAAGCAGTGCTCCTAAAAGACTCAGAACCTCAAAGCATATAAAGATATATAAGCAATTACAATACAACATGGTAATGTTCCCATAACAAGGCTACACATCAGGAGCTGTCAATAACACTAAGACAATGAAGGGAAAGAATGGCTACCACACAACAGACCAATCCTGGGCCACTGCAAAAGTTGGGTTGAGAAATATAGGCCTAAAATAAAAGAGCAACAATATATTGAGCTTGTAAGGAGATGAATTTTAAGGACATTTAGAAGGTATACTCAGCGGGACTAGGCTCAGTCAACATTTTCATAGTGTAGTTTTAATTAAGAAACAAAGTACTGTTTAAACGAAGAAATACCCTATTCATCGCAGTCTTGTTCAGAATAGCAAAAAAAAAAAAAAAAAAAAGTAATAAAAGCAATGAAAAGGGGAAATGATGTTTTTTGTTTTTTGCTTTTTAAAAAAAGAGATAAGTCTCATCACTATGTTGCCCAGACTGGTCTCGAACCCCTGGGTTCAAGCAGTCCTCCTGCCTCAGACTCCCAAAGCGCTGTGATTACAGGTGTGAGCTACTGCACCCAGCCAGGAAACGATCTAAAGTCCACAAACAATAAACTGATTAAATAAATTATAAACTAGAATTCAAGGCAATCATTAAAATGAATGAGGAAGATCTACAATTATTTGGAATGTATTAAGTTGTAAAATGATAACTACGATATACTAAGTTAAAAATACATTAAGATGCAGACCAAGCGCCCACATCAAGGCATATATACAAAAGAATTAAAAGTAGAGACTCAAACAGATATTTGTACACCAATGTTAATAGCAGCATTATTCACAATTATCAAAAGGCAGAAATAGACCAACTGTCCATCAACGGATGAATGGATAAAGAAAATATGGTATATATGCATACAATGAAACAGTACTCAGCCATAAAAAGAAATGAAATTTTGATATATACTATGAGTAGATCTTTAAACTATTATGTTTCATGAAATAAACCATTTGTGTAAAAATAAAAAAAAGAAGGGCTATATAGATGAATGCATTACTAGAGCAGTCGAAAATCTCTGGAAGACACATAAGAAACCAATGACAGTTAACTCTGGGAAAAACTAGGAAAATGAAGATACAGTATGAATGAATGAAAGAGAGCTATATCTTCTGCTACAAACTTTTTTATACTACGTAAGTTTCTTATCATTTGTATATATTGCTTAATTTTTTTTTTAATTTAAAAAAAAAGGGCAAGGATAGTTTTCCATGGATGCTAAAACCAGTGGAAAAGGGTTGTAGGAGAGACAATTTTCACATGATCTCAAAATACCACTGCCTAATTGCCTATTAATTACAAAGGGGAAAAAAGCGTACATTTGCAAAGAAATAATCTGGCAATAGTTACCACCTTAAACAAGCAATCAAACTTAGTGTCACCTATAAAGAAGGAAAATGGCATTAAGTGCCTCCTGAGGTGATTTAAGGAGTACGTAACATCACCTATATAGTGTTAATGAAGTAAATGTTTAACTTGAATATATAATATTAAAGAACCAAGAGGCAAATTCACATGGTAGGACACTGTATAAGACAACTGGCCTAGATTCTTCAATAAAGTTAATGTCATTTGGGGAAAAAACGGCTGAGGATTATTCTAGATTTAAAGAAACATAAACACCAAAAGCAGTATGTGAGTGTGACTGGATCCTGGAACCGAAGAAAACAAAAAGCAATTATAAAATATAAGTGGGAAATGAAAAAGATTTAAACACATATGTTCCATATTAGGTGATAATGAATTAATGTTATTTTCCTTTGGTGTGGTAAAAGTATTGTGGTTATGCTGGAGAATGTCCTTCTTAGGGGATACATGCCAATGTACTGGGAGAGGATGGGGAGTATAATGATGACCACAACTTATTCTCACTTAAAGCAAAATGTATGTATATTTAGAGGAGAGGAAAAAAGCAGTTGTAGCAAAATGTCGCAATTTGTGAATCTAGGTGAAAAGCGCTATTCTTCATTTTTTCTATAAATTTGAGAAATTTTCAAAATCAGAATTTGGGGAGAAGTATAGAAACAGCTAAATCAGGCACAGCTGAACCCCCATAACATAAAAGAGGAAAGGAAAAACCAAAAGTTATCTTTTACAATAAAAGCATATTTAGGAATTAAATGATAAACATGGTTTTTCCATTACTAACCATGTTTTTCCTGATGGAGCATATGTAATAAACTCATTCATTCCCAGGAGTATCTGTATTAAACAAATTTCACTTTTAATTTCCTTACAACATAATCATTTTTCTTTAAGTAATTACATTGAATCCATCTCTATAAATTTAGAGCTAGATTTGTAACTCTCGCTCAAAAATGAGCTGGCAGAAAAACATTGTTCCCATAAACACAGACACTAAGTTTCCTACCCTTCCTACAAGTAAGAGAAAATCCAGACGGCAAGATGACAAGTTTACTTAGGCTTGTCCTTTGTACAAATTACACAAAAGGAAGCTAAAGGGCAGCGAATAGCCTGGTTCACCAAAAATTATAGGAAGACAGAACCTTCCATCTCTTAAATCTTTAACCCACATTTTCATTGTTTCAAAACAGTATTAATTCCTATGTTAGAAAACATCTAGGCAAATCTGAATTGTAACATGACTGCAGGTAAGTTTCAGTAGGGAAAATCTAAAAGGCCAAACTGTTTTGGAAATGTGTATGTGCTTACTTTTCTTTGAATACATCTAATGCCTTGAGAATTCACTTTCATACAACACACTGAAGTCACACTATAAAAATCTGATTCAAAAGAAAATGGGAAGTTTTTCTTGTTTCCTCATCTTGAACTGGATCTAACTCCCTCCTGAGAATCTCTCAGGTTGACAAAAAATAAGCAGAATATGAAAATAAATCCAATGTGAGCTATGATTATGATCTTATTAGAGGCATCTGTGATCTTCCAAAGTCCCTGTGGAACTTATGAAGCTGCACACTTACTACACATACACTTCTATGAATGTATATTATATCACACTTACTTAGCCTATAAGGGTAATGCTTACAGGCTAAGATGGAACAACGAACTAACATTTGCCTCTGGCTTTTTCTCACTGAAAAATGTCCTATTATTTACCTATCAAAAGTTTCTCGACATCACTGTAATGAAGGAAAACACACTCTTCATGGTTGGGTTTTTTTTTTTTACTCTGTTCAAATCCTCTAACCTAACATGTTAGTCCGGTCTCATGCTGCTATGAAGAAATACCCAAGACTGCGTAATTTATAAAGGAAAGAGGTTTAATTGCCTCACAGTTCCACAGGGCTGGGGAGACCTCAGAAAACTTATAATCATGACGGAAGACGTTAGCAAACACATGCTTCTTCACATGGGGGCAAGAAGAAGAGTGCCTAGCAAAAGGAGGGAAAGCCCCTTTTAAAACCATCAGATCTCATGAGAAATCACTATCAGAACAGCATGAGGGTAACCATTCCCATGATTAATTTACCTCCCACTGGGTCCCTCCCCTCACATGTAGGGATTATGGGAACTACAATGGAAGAAGAGATTTGGGTGGGGACACAGCCAAACCATATCACCTAACATTTCCCAAAATTTGTTCCTCAAATCACTAGTTCCTCAAGATGTTATAAGGAGGAAAAAAGGTTCAGGGATCAAATAAATTTGGAAAATATTGAGTTTAATGTTAAACAGGCTTCTTTACTGTAAGTCTTTTACATGTTAATATGTACTTGACATTCCAAGAGAGAATAAAGTACACACTGTTTCCCAAGTTTATTTGACTCCAGAGCCCTTTTGTCAAGGAGTCACATTGGGAAATGTTGCTATTCCAGTTCTTTGACAACCTTTAATAAAAATGTGCTGTCTTATGTAAAGTCAATATTTTATTAATCTGATTCACACAACAGGTCTGTTCTCAAGTTCATGCTGAGAAATCTGACTCAAGAAACTAGTAACTACTGCCCTGCATAAATTACTTTTGAAATTTCTGAATATCAACATTGTCCTCTTAAAAAGAACAAACATCAGTGACCAGTTCCACACTCTAAGTCATAAGATATTTATTTCATGATGAGATTTTAACCTATTTACCAACATCCTTTAAATAAAGTCTATTTATTCAACATTCCCAAATTTTCAATAATGAGGACTTGCACTCTTCCTTGAAAGGAATTCCACCACAGAACCTTGCCAATCAACCCAGTACCAGTGCTGGCATATAGTGTCCTAACCATACAACTTACAGTGTTGAAGAAATACTAAAAAAAGAAAACGCGCCATCTAACACATGAATGAAGAAGGAACAATAGAATTTCACTATTTTGCAATCCCTGATGAATTACGAAGTCTAAGCAATTATCATCAATAGCTGCTAACACCACTAAGAGACATAAGACCTTACATATCTCCTGATGGAAACACAAATCACTCCTATGAAGTATTCTTACTGAGAGAAAAAAAAATACAAACCAACCTATCAATGTACACAAATTCAGGAGACAGGAGGAACACGTTAAGTGACATTACAGAGATGCAATCAGCAAAATGAGACTAAGGGAAACTTATTAGGGCAAACAACCTGGTTTCTTTAATTTAAAAATTAAGAAAAAAAAGAGATGAAGAGACTCTAAAGATTTTAAATGATGTAATAAACATGCCAAATTGTTGTAAAGTATGAACCCTATTTGGATGTCACTTCAAGCAAATAAACTATAGATCTATATTTATCTATAAAGCAGAGAAATATGAAGCCTGATTCATATTTGATATTAAGAACTTGCTATACATTTTTTGGTATGATATTGTTATTATGGTTATGGTATAAAAAGAGAGACAGACTCTATCTTTTAAAACTCAACATATTGAAATATCTGAAAGGTAAACATTATGTATGTCAAGGATTTTATTTAAAACAATCCAGGGGCCAGGTGTGGTGGCTCACACCTGTAATCCAAACACTTTGGGTGGCCGAGGCAGATGGATCACCGGAGGCAAGGAGTTCAAGACCAACCTGGCCAACATGGCAAAACCCCATCTCTACTAAAAATACAAAAATTAGCCAGGTGTGGCAGCACATGCCTGTAATCCCAGCTACCTGGGAGGCTGAGGCACGAGAATCGCTTGAACCCAGGAGGCGGAGGTTGCAGTCAGCCAAGGTCGCACCACTGCACTCCAGTGTGGGTGACGGAGTGAGACTCTGTCTCAAATAATAATAACAACAACAATCCAAGGATTGGGGATGAGGGGTGCTAGACAGAAATATAGATGAAACAAGACTGCCTATGAGTTGACAATTCTTGAACTTCAATACTGGGTACATGGGAGCTCTTTATACTATTCCCTCTACTTTTATGTTAATATATATTTAAAATATACTATAATAAAAAGATAAGAAAAAATGCTGTATGGGAATTGAATTATCATAGTATCTACCTATTCCCATAATATATTAATCCAGAGTCAGGCACAAGAGAGTATTAATTTACTAAGATCAAATTATATTTCTAGAGTACCATAAGCAATCATTTGATATGAACTTCACAAGCAATCAACATGCTAAGCTCTCCTATGTAATTACTCTTATTTGCAAGTCTGTTAATAGTATCTAACCAATTTATAGCTCTCTGTGAAAAAAAAAAGTGTTTAAGTATTATTTATTTAAAAAATTTTTTTTTATTAAATAAAGCAACAGTCACAGAAAAAAAACTGCAGACAATATTGCAGAGTCATTGCTGTCTTTCTAGCCCTATGGGCCTTTGGTACTTCGGGAATTTATTGTCAGCAGAGTTACTGCATAAGCACTCCAGCTCACTGAGCTCCCAAACAGAACTAGTTTTATCTTGTGTACAAAAACCCTTTCCTGCCTGCCTACTCTGAAATAAGGAGCCAAACCGACAGATGGCAGACGAAAAGGAAGAGGGAGGTGATAAGGAGGCAGTACAAGACAGCACCAGGAAAAAATAACAGAAAGAACTGAAAGACATCTTAAATATGAATATAATAATATAAAATATTCACCAATTTCTTTTGCAAAACAAAGTCACATTTTGTCACTAATCAATTACTTTAAAGCTAAGTGACTCTGTGAATTCGTACTGGATTTTATTCCTTTATATGGCATAGCTTTGAGAGTTTTGAAAAATCCTTCTTAATATCTTAGACCAATTTAAATTAGCCAAAGTATTTCAAACTATTCTCAAAAGAACAAGAGAAATGGGACATACCAAACTTTTATCAACATTTCACCACTGCCACACTTCTGCCTTTTTAGAAGCTACCAGACTTTCTTTTTCAACTTCTAAAGAGTAAAGTGCCCCACCTCTATGCTAATCCATAGACACAATCAAAACCACTTCAGTATTACTGCAGCTAGTAGGTTTTAATTAAAATATTGGTTTAAAAGATACTATAGTGTTGCCATTAGAATTATAGTTTTAATCTAAATGACATTTATGTAAAACGCCTAGGCTTTTGGTATAACAAACATTATTTAAGAACATGTCAATTACCATAAGCCATCTTGATCCATTCCTAATGCCAAGTACCTCTTCTGCTTCCAGATTAAGTAGCTCTCCAATCACTTATTTTAGAGAACAAACCTGCAGCACCATACAATACAGAAGCCCACTACTCATACTCTGGCAATTTTACAAAGAAATAGCAACTTCTAGGCTTTGGTCGCAGAACCAGAACCAGTTCATTTCTGGTTGCATCATAAAAAAGAACAACTAGAGGTTGAGATTATTCAGGGGCTCATTCCTAAGGCAGTTCCCTCCTCTCCTCCATGGAAGTTTGTCAAATGGGAGAATAACATCTGCCTGCCTGTCTCACAGAGGTGTTATTTATATCAATTGAGAAAATGTTTACAAAAGTATTTTATAAACTAAAAAGCTATAAATAAATGTAAGTTGTTATTCTCTATTTGTTTGTACTCTAGACAGTTTGCTTAACCTTGCTCCTTAATATCATTGGGTTTCAAGAACTATCAAGAAAAACTTCAAATTTCAAGGAATAAAGATTCACTAAGATTCACTTTTTAATAGCAAAGCCAATCCTTACACCAATTACTGTTCTCTTCTAACACCTATTCTTCTCCTTGGCAAAACAGAACTAGAAACATGCTTTAAGAAATCAAAGCATTAGGTTCTCTAAAGTTCTGTCTCATTGTCACCATGAATTCCTGAACACCCATATACCACGGTCTTGCCCACATGACACTACTTGGATGGGGTTTTACCTCAGCCAAAACTATGTCATTGAGGCTGGCCATTTCTACGCTCTGTCCCCCACAGTCTCCACCAACACTTTTTCATTTCTGAATTCTCATCCAGTCTGCATCACTTCCTAGCTGAGTATGAGCTTAGGCAAGTTACTTAACCTCTCTGTGCTTTAAATTCCTTATCTGCAAATAAGGTTTTAGCTCATAAGTTTAAACGTGGGTTAAATAATACATGGAAAAATGCTAAGAGTGGATGTTAAGTGTTCTCACCACAAAAATGATGACTAAATGATGTATATGTAAATTAGCTAGATTTAGTCATTCTGCAATGTATATATACTTCAAAACTTCATGTAGCACACAAGAAATACATACAATTTTATCTGCCAATTTAAAAATAAAAAATACATGAAACTGCTTAGAACAGTGACTGCACAGTAAATGTTCAGTATGTGCTAGTGTTATTCCTTTATATGTGCGTCTGTCTACTCTTCCACCACACCACCATCATTAAATTACACAAATCTTTCCATCATTCTCCATCCCTCATTCTTTCCAAAAGAATGAGCAAATTTGAGAAAGCAGATACTATGATCATATTACTAAATTTCATTATACATGACTGAATACTTGGTTATATATGAAAGTTCAATGATATCTCATAAATAAGATAATGGCCCACAATGCTTCTAAATTATATTAACACTGAAATATAATCTTCCTAGTTCTAAATTAGGTTAACTACTTATTTCCAATGCTATCAGTTATCAAGGCTGCTTACTTTGAATTATATCACATAAAAGTGGCCATGACTGAAGAGTTTTATGGTATAGTGACTAAGGTCTTAAAATACCGCAAAACTTTAAAAAGCTTTCCATAAATACTACCGTATTTTTAAAAAAACAACAATGTATCTCAAAAAAAAATCAAAACCAACAGAGACGTTATCCTTTTTTTTTTTGCTTTTGAGAGGTCTTGCTATGTTGCCTAGGCTAGTGTTGAACTCCTGTGCTCAAGCAATCCTCTGACCTTGGCCTCCCAAGAAGCTAGGACTATAGGCATGCCACCACGCCCAGCTTAACAGAGACTTTAAATCAGGAGTTTAGAATGAGGAAAAATAACTTACCAGAAACAAGAGAAAATATTACTATTACATTAACATTACTACCATTATCATTAGGGGACAACCAAATAGCTTAAACACTTGCAACCAGAACAAGAGCTAAAAATTCAAGTTTTTGGTTTTTTGGTTTTTTTTGGGTTTTTTTTACATATTATTTAGCACACTCCATGAACAATTATATGCTCTTAATAATGTTATAAATCCTAAATCCTAACATTTCACAATGTAAAGGGGAATCACTTGAACCAAGGAGACAGAGGTTGCAATAAGCCAAGATCGTACCACTGCACTCCAGCCTGGCAACAGAGTGAGACTCCATCTTAAAAAAAAAAAAAAAGAAAAAATTCAGCAAAGTGTGGTTGTGCACGCCTGCAGTCACAGCTACCTGGGAGGCTGAGGTGGGAGGATCACCTGAGTCTTGGGAGGTCAGGGCTGCAATAAGCCATGATCCCACCACTGTACTCCAGCCTGGGAGACAGAGTGATACCCTGTCTTACAAAAAAAAAAAAAAAAATCAGTTAATCTAATTTAGAGACAGTTTTACTCCACAGACAACTTCCTGTAGTCGTACTCCTAGTTTACTACATGCTAGGGACTTTTCTAGGCAGTGGAATAAACAACATATCTAATATTCCTGCTTTCATGGAGTTTACATTCTAGTGAGGGAGACAAATAATAACCAGGTAGGCAAGTAATTCAATATCAGGAAGCATAAGTGCCATGAAAAAAATAAAGCAAGAAAGATAGGGGATGTAGGGAGGGACCACTGTTTTATATTGCATTCACCGAAGATCTCTCTACAGGGGTGAAGTCTGACGCACTCTCTTTAAACAGAGGCCTGAACTATGTGAGTGAACCAGCAGTGCAAAAACTTGAGGAAAGGGATAAACAAGTTTTAAACCCTGGGAGTGTGCCTGGCTCGGTCAAGGAATACGGCTAGTTCAATGTAGGAGAAGTGGAATAAACAAGAAGAGGGAGGCAGGGACTACATCATGTAGGACCTTGCAGGCCATAGCTAGGAATTTGGCTGTTCTTTTAATTTAAAATAACTGTATTTTAAGTTATTTTAAAATAGCCAGGCACGGTGGCTCACGCCTGTAATCTCAACACTTTGGGAGGCCGAGGCAGGCAGATTACTCAAGGCCAGGAGTTCGAGACCAGCCTGACCAACATGGTGAAACTCCGTCTCTACTAAAAAGACAAAAATTAGCCAAGCGTGGTAGCATGTGCCTGTAATCCCAGCTACTCGGGAGGCTGAGGCAGGATAATCGCTTGAATCCAGGAGGCAGAGTTGCAGTGAGCCGAGATCGTGCCACTGCACTCCAGCCTGGGCAACAGAGCAAGACTCTGTCCCCCAAAAAAAATTATTTTAAAATAATAATAATAATTTAATTTAGAAGTCATCTAAAGTATTAAGTAAAGGAGTGATTAACATTTGAAAAGGTCATTCTAGTTATGAAGTAGAAAATAGCCTATAAGAGGTCAAGTGAGAAAACAAGGAAATCAGATAAGAGACTATTATAATTACCCACACAGGAGATGGTGGTGGTTTAAACCAGCATAATAAGGCAGAGATGACAAAATGTGATCAGATTAGAAATGTATTCAGAAAATAGAGCCAAGATGATTTGCTAATAGACTGGTTAAAGGGTACAAAGAAAAAAGAAGAATCATAGATCACTTAGGATTCTGGCCTGAGCAACTAGTTGAATGGTCCTGCCATTTACTAATACCAAGAGCAGATTCAGAGGAAATAATGAGAATAGGAATCATACCTTCTGTGTTGTATAAATTTAGTTTGAGATGTCTATTAGATAGTTTTTTATATAAGTAAACTCATGTCATGGGTTTGTTATACAGATTATTTCATCACCCAGGTATTAAGCCTAGTACCCATTAGTTATTTTTCCTGATACCCTCCCTCCTCCCATTCTCCACTCTCCAACAGGCCCCAGTGACTGTTGCTCCCCTCTGTGTGTCCACATTTTCTCATCATTAGCTCCCACTTATAAGTGAGAACAATCTGATGAACTATGACACTCAATCTTGGGGAGGGGGTTCAGGCTGAAGATATAAATGTGAGTCAATAGGCATACAGATAGTATTTAAAGCCATAGAACTAAATAAATATAGATGTAGAAGATTTTGTTTATTTCATCCTCACATCAGCCCTATGATGTAGCAACTATAATTATTACCATTTTATAGATCAGAAAACTGAGGCTAAGAGATTAAGACTTGCCTAACATCATTCTGCTAACTCGCAGAAGAAAGAAGGAGGTAGGGGAAAGAACAGATCTAACTGACGACAATGCCCATGACCTTTCTCAACTGGGGTTTGTTATCTGAACCTCAGAACATTGACAATGGTCGGAGTGGATACTTTCTCAATTCTCACAATTCTACATTGGAGAGAAGATAATTCTTTACATATAACAAATGTCCAAATGTCTTTGGATATTTGGGTTTAATTCTCTTATGAAACACAGTTGAAAGAACTATACTATACTACCATTAATCCATTATTATTATTCCATTGCTACTATTAGGAATCATTTAAAATGAGAGAGATTTCTGCACAGCAAAAGAACAATTAACAAAGTGAAAACGTAGCCTATGGATTTGGAGAAAGTATTTGCAAACTATGTATCTGATACAGGGTTAATATTCAAAATATGTAAGGAACTCACACAACTCAATAGCAAAAAACAAAAATGAATAACCTGCTTTTAAAATGGGCAAATGACTTGAATAGATATTTCTCCAAATAGGACATAAAAATGGCTCAACATCGCTAATCATTAGGGAAACACAAATCAAAACCACAATAAGGTATCACCTCACACCTGTGAGGATGGCAATTATCAAAGAGACAAGAGATAAGTGTTGCTCAGGGAGTGGAGAAAAGGAAATACTTGAACGCTGTTGGTGGAAATGTGAATTGGAACAGCCATTATGGAAAACAGTATGTAGGTTTCTCAAAAAATTAAAAAGGGCCAGGTGCAGTGGCTCACGCCTATAATCCCAGCACTTTAGGAGGCCGAGGCGGGTGGATCACAAGGTCAGCAGATGGAGACCATCCTGGCTAACACGGTAACCCCATCTCTACTAAAAATACAAAAAAATTAGCTAGGCGTGGTAGCAGGCACCTGTAGTCCCAGCTACTCAGGAGGCCAAGGCAGGAGAATCACTTGAACACTGGAGGCGGAGGTTGCAGTGAGCTGAGATCATGCCACTGCACTCCAGTCTGGGCAACACAGCGAGACTCCGTCTCAAAAAACAAAAAAAATTAAAAAGAAAACAACCATATGATCTAGCAATCTCTCTTCTGAGTTTCAACCCAAAAGAAATAAAAGCAGCACCTCAGAGAGAGAGATGCATTCCCATGTTCACTGCAGCATTATTCACACTAGCTGAGATATGGAACCAACCTACACGTCTGTCAGTGGATGGCTCGATAAAGAAACTGTGATACAAATACACTCTGGAATATTATTCAGCTTTCAAAAAGGAGATCCTGCCATTTACAACAAAACAAATGAACCTGGAGGACATTGTGTTAAGTGACATAAACCAGACATAGGGCG